TTTTGAATGCAGGGACCGGTTGCTGTATTGGAATGGAACCCAGTTGCTTTCTGCTGTTACGAATAAGCCGCCATTCGGCAAGAACACGGTTTTCTTGGGGTTTATAGTTTAGTACTTTTTACTTCGTAAGGGTTCTTTGATGTCCAGAGAGCCCAATCCCAGTGAGCATCTTTGATGTGCTCTTAAACGCATGAAATTTCTTTAGTATATGATAGCTTATTTTTCTCTTGACTTATTTCGTGTTTCTTACTTTTTTAAATTAGTTGCGAGGGCATGTGAGTCCAAGTTTATTAAGATTTAATATTGCAATTTGCTTCTCGCTTCATGTTAATTTCATTAAAATATTTAACAAAATTAGATGGTATAAGAAGTAAGAAGTAACAAATTCAAAGATATAATAACGGGTGAATAATAACGGTGAACCCGAAAGAAAAGCGAGAATAAGGAGGGATTGTGCCATTTGTCATTTTTAAGAAAGTAACATGTCAAATTAGCCTTTAAAATTAATTAAAATATCATTGAATTCTTATTATTTTAAAAATATTTTGATCCCAAAATTTATTTCGAGACTTAAAAGTCTGTATGTATCAAAATTTTACTTAACACATATTAATTCTTTAAATAGAATTTTTACTCTAAAATGAACGTTGAAAATAAATACTGAAAATAAGAATAAGAGTCAAAATGAATATTTTATTAAATATTAGAGACCTTTTATTCTAAAATAAATAAAATTGAAATTAAAATACTTCCAAAAAATAAATATTAAAATGTTGAATTTTTTTTGATACTATGCCCCTTTCAAAAAGTGGTTCTCATCTTTACTTTTGAATGAAAATCAACGTTGTATAATATCCTTTTTAATATCAATAAAGCTCAAACACACATCTAAACAAACAAACAAATAATTTCATTTAAACTTAAGCATACCCTATCTATTACAGTTCAACACCATTGGTTCTTCAATCCAACTTAAAAACATGCGCACACATATATGACTAGGAATTAAAGTTAATTTATTTCATATTTGTTTTGCCTTACGCTAATGACAAAAAATAACCTTAAGTTCACGTGGGAAGAGCACTGGTGCATGAGCGATGGGCTATCATGTGCATACATAAACGTGGAGGGGCAAGCGTGCTTGAAAAACTCTGAATAACTCGAACCCTTACACGTCTCTGGACTATTGTAATGGTTCCTGCAACAAAGCTCGTCCGTTCCAAAGGCTCCGCACCCACTCTTGCAACCCACCACCGACCCTTTACCCATCGGCCACCTGAATTGTAACTCGTTTGGACTCGTGGCCAGCAGATTAGCCCTACACCCCACGACGGGGCAAACGCCTTTGCCTTCATGTGGGGTCAATTAAAACCGTCGACGACGCTGACTTCGTACGAAGAGAGGTCTTTTTCGCCTCCGTGGTGGAGGCAGAACTGCGCCAGCGTCAATGGGGTGGCGCCACCGAGGCCGTTGCACTCTATTCGGTGGCCGCAATCTCCGGTGGCGAAATAGAATTGGCCGTTGGAGGATGTGCAGCCGGTTCGAGTCCAGATACGACCGGACCAGTGGGCGGTGGGTGCGGGGAAGGAACGGTGGGTCAAGGTTTGAAGGGGGAAACCGCCATTTTCGAGGACAGGGTGACCGGCGTCGGGCTGGATAGCTGGGTAAATGGTGAAGGGCAGTTGTTGACAACTGTTAAAATCAGACCAGGTGGCTGAGTAGCTTTAGCAAAGGTGCAAAAAAAGAAGATAGTAGCAAAATATAAATAATAAGAATACACAAGAGAAGCCATCCTTTCAGTGCATCAACAATACCTGGAGTTTAGCACTTTCTTATATGTACAACTAAAACAGTCAAAAATACCTAAATACCCTTCGTCTTCTCAAAGAATCTTCCTTTCAGTGCATCAGATGTGATTTGGTGGACTTTGACTACGGTTTTATTATGCTTGTTTTAGGCGATAGTATTCGTTATGTTCGTTATATATACTTATTTAGGATCAAACAAATAAATTCTTCATATTATGAGGACCATAGGTATTATCAATTGTAAATATTTATTTATAAAAATAACTAAAATTTTAAATTTAATATCATGAATTGATCGGATATCAATTTAATTAAAAAAATAAAATAATTTTATTTAAAATTAAAATTAAAATTATTATGTTTTGTTTTTATTTTTTTAATCTTGAAAAATAATTGAAAATAATATTTCTATTTAGATATCATACACTATATATAATTTCTATAATTGTATCTATAATTATTATTAACAATATTTTATAAAAAATAATTTTACACATTTTCTCAGACAAAAATGTTCATCATTATCGTGTTAGTAACTTTCAAGAAAAAATACTACTTTTAATTATTTTAGATGTTTTAGATATTTCTTTACACATCGTCACTTTTTACCTGCATCTTAAAAAAATAAAGTGTAAATTACATATTTAGTATGTAAACTATCAATTTTGATTTGTTTTAATATTTAAACTTTTAATTTTTTAAAAATTATACTTAACAGTTAATTTTGTTTCATTTTAATATATTGTCATTAAAAACTTAAAAGGTTATTTACAGTGGAACCTTTTTTATGGGTGAATTGTATCATTCATCACCCAATTATCTTCTCACTCTTATTTTGTTTAATAAAGTTTAATTTTTTTAATTTAATTACTTAACTTTCAAATTACTCATAATTTAATCACTTTTTAATTTTGATTTTTACATATATATTATAAAATAATAATAAAAATGTTATGTCACAAAAAATATTAATAAAATAAATTAGAGTGATTAAAATATGAGCAATTTGAAAGGTGAGTAGTTAAATTGAAATTTTTTAAGCTTTAGTACCAAAGTAGGAGTGAGAAGATAGTCGAGTGATGAATGATGTTATTTCCCATTAAAAATGCAATATTAAGTTTTTAACGGCGATGTACTAAAATAAACAAAAAAAATATTAAGTATGGTTTTGAAAAAACTAAAAGTTTATATATAAACAAATCAAAGTTGATAGTTTAGGCACTAAACCCATAATTTACCAAAAAACAAAATATATAATATTTGAGTTTTAAATGTATCCATTACATTGATAATTAACTTAAATTCGATGAATTAAAAATTAAAATTATTGAATTTGAATGACATTTTTATTTAACATGGTAAATATATTTTATCCATGTACCGAATATAAAAGTATAAACACGTATTATAAATAAGTTTTATATCAAATTTAAATTAAAGTTTAATAATTAAACCTTAAAATATATATTAATAAAATATATATATATATATATATATATATTAATAATTTAACCAACTTCAAAATATTTATGTTAATTATGCATAAATATCTGTTCTTAAACATATCAGTTATAGACTTAATAATCGAAAAAGAAGAAGCTTTTCCATGTGCAATAGGAAAAAGATAAAGAGGAAAGACATCACGCAATTAACTGTGTAGGAGATTATTGTCGGTTTATTTGCAAAAATAATAAAAAAATAAAATAAAATAAAATAAATAAAGATAATTCATTTCTCCTGTTTGATGTTCACGTTTTTCTGTGCAAGTTCTAAGCCACTTTTCACAATGAAAACAGATGTCCAAACAAAGGAAAAGACAAACCGCTAACTCTCGACCAAAAGCCGAAAATTCCAAAACTATGATGCCATCAGCTTAACATTTACCATATTAACTTGTATTCTAACAAAACCTTATCTTTAGCTTCTACCCAAAGAAGTCTGTAACCTTTTTCATTGTACTCAAATAATCCCTTAACATAAACCAACCTTAAAACCGAAATAAAAGAAATACTGGGGTTATTTGAATAATATGGTGAAATCAAGGACTTCTTTTAGTATTTAACCATCTAGTCGGGAATTACGTGGCCGTAATATGTTTTGTCCATAAGGCCAAAGGCCCAAAAACCCTGCACACTAAATTTAATTGTTAAAATTGGAGAGTGGGGTGCCAAAAAGAAATTTGCATTAAAGCGTTGAGTGTGTGCTTTCTATTTTGTAGAACAATGTTTATAAGTTACAGTGATTGGAAATATCTTTTCATTCCCATAATGTTACATTCTATAGCTTTCTCCCTTATCACTTTCATTATTTTAATGTCTGGTTCAAATAATGAAAAATGGTTTTGGATATAAAAATCGGAGCTCAATCTTATTAAATGTCAATTAAGAAAAACTGAATAAAAATTGAATGAATTGATTAATTTAGACTCCAAGTAGTAGCACATCTCAAGCTTTTCATTTCTTGTTACCATTCTGCAAATAATGAAAAGGGGTTTTGGATATATTATTATGAACTCCATCTTGTTAGATGCCAATAAAGAGAAACTGCATAAAAATTAAATGAATGATAGGATCAAAAGAATTTACAAGCGATCGTCTATTTAAAATTTTAAATTGTCATATAATTTAAATATTTTTTATTGATATATAATTTTTTCTCTTAAAATTTTATAAGATTACCAGTAACATAAAATTTTATATCCGACTATGATTATACCATTTTTAGCGTTATGTGCTTAAAATGGAATCATGATGACTCTTTATAATAGAATGCATGCGTCAGAAAATGCGCCATCTTTAATGCCAAACTGCCAGCCACAAGCGTCGTACCTAAGGCATTTAGTAGATACATGGGGTGTCTATACGTAACATTTCATCCATAAACTAGTGTCGATGAAATTCAATCACAATTTTAACTCATTAACAACAATATGTTTTCCTGACAACTTTGATAGAAACATAATCCAAGAACGTTTGTAATTTATAAAATAAATAATACAGAAAGATTGAAGACAGTGACTTCACCAGGCCTAATTTCCTCGTTACAGAACTATCGACATGAATCAAATAACAAAAATGCTGATTTAGCTTACCTACTAAACTAAGGCTTCCAAAAAAAAAAAAATCAGCGTATAATTCAGTAATTCAGGAGCTAAAGATTAGGTGGCGGGTCCCGACACTCATGCCGACAGCAAGATCCAAAGCACTCAAAAAATGCTAATATCATGGATGCAATGATAGATGAGAAATGATAGATTAGAGCAATCACTAGAAACACAGAATTTTTAAATCTTAACAATCTTGTACATAATTCCATAGGATCACCCCGCACCTTTAACAAACATTCTTACATCTATTTTTAAGTTTGGTTATGATTACAGAAACGCATCAATCAAATGCAACTCCATTCTTGTAAGAGCCCCCCTATAAAAGCACGCAAAAATATTGCACCACCTACATAAAGATGAGAGGGCAAGTTCTAACCTACATTCTTCTACTAGCATGGTTCCTGCTTATAGATTCTCAACTCCAGGGCTCCCAAATCGATGCTCAAGCCATTGAATCAGGCAACCTTCTTTCTCTCTCTCTCTCAATTGCTTAAAGCATTCAATGCATATCATACCCTACATCAAGCAAACTTTACAAATTTTTGTAGCTTCTAAATTGTAATGCATTAGTGTTTTTTACCTATAGTGGCAACAGTTCACTTCAAGTTCAGACCTCGAAGCCTAATGTCGAGACTACATGCTAGAAACGCATTACCTACCTGGGTAAGAACTGTGTAGTCTCTTTCATCTTAGAACTCTTGTATTTATCTAGCTAGTATAACTAAATCCGTTCACTAAAAAAACTCCTTGCTGCGATGAAAAACAGGTTGAAATGAAGAAGATTCATAAATCCCCATCTGGACAGAACCCATTAGAAAATCACAAGCCACCATCTAGGCATTAAAACAACGGATGCAACAGCCAATGTGGAAGATAGGGTAAGGTGACACAAATTGTATTGGAGGTGAGACGTCTCTGTGTAGGACAAGGATGTTACTTGTAAAAATCCATATTCGAAAGCAAGTAGTGATGTACTATTATATGCTTCTAGCATGTACTAAAAGTTTTAAATGAGTTAGTTTGTTTAGTTTGGTGTGTAATGGTATGTTCGATTTTCTTCAGTCAGAAGGTAATCCCATGTTCTAGTTACGATATTATGCTTTATAATGCTTCTATACAATAAATTCATACTAGCCTATGCATGTTTGCAGAAAGAAACACTCATCTATCACACGTGAAAGGAACTAAAACAGTTTTAAACAAAGAATTGACAATTCTTCACGAGTGAGAAAATAATAACCCTAGGTTCAGATCACATAAAAGGAAGCAATTGTTGGTTTTTGGCAAAGTCTCACATTGGTTGTGTATAAGGAGGAGGAGAAATTCTTTTGTTATAAATAAAGCCATCCTCCTCCTTAGTTAATCATCCCACAAATATAAGCCTTCTTCTATATTAAAGGCTATTTGTATTCTTTCTCTCTTTGTAATATTTCCTCTATTAGTGAAATATTTTGGTGTTCTCTTTTATGTCTATTTAATAGCTATTGTCGGGTATAGTTGTTGTTAATTATTGTCCTATTAAATTACTTGTCTTGGTAGTTCTGTCTAAGGAAAGTGGGTTTTAAGAGGGACCATTGTGACCCCTCCTCTTTCCTGGGAATATACATTGAGGTATTTTTAGTACAATCTTTTTCACACTAGTCACCTAGATAATAGTTTCGAAGATGAATATGTTATTGGTGGAAATTAACCCGAATTGCACAACAATTGGTATCAGCGCTCTTGGTTTATTTTAGTATACTCTGTGGTTGCGGCTTAGGCTGATCTTCCACATCAGAAAAAATCTCCTTGGGATAATTGACATTCCGCATTGGCAGCTATTAAATAGAATTTGTAGCAGAAATGGCAGACGTTTCTTCATCTTCAATTTTGGCAAGAAATGCTGTGACAAATGTTAGATTTGCAGTGGAGATTTTTGATGGCACCGGTCATTTCGGCATGTGGCAAAGTGAGGTTCTAGACGCCCTATTTCAGCAGGGTCTAGACATTGCTATTGAAGGAGAGAAACCAGATGATGTTGAGGAGAAAGAATGGAAGAGGATCAATAGAATGGCATGTGGTACTATTCGATCGTGTCTTTCTAGAGAGCAGAAGTATGCATTTTCTAAGGAAACTTCTGCAATTAAATTGTGGAAGGCACTGGAGGAGAAATTTTTGAAGAAAAGCGGTCAGAACAAACTCTACATGAAAAAGAGATTGTTCTGCTTCAACTATGTACCAGGTACCACTATGAATGATCACATTACTAGCTTTAATCAGCTGGTGACTGATATGATGAACATGGACGTGACTTTTGAAGACGAAGATCTGGCTTTGATGTTGATGGGATCACTTCCTGATGAGTTTGAGTATCTTGAAACTACTCTACTTCATGGGAAGGTTGATGTGTCTCTCAGTGAAGTAACTGCTTCCTTGTATAGTTATGAATTGAGAAAGAAAGGCAAACATGAAAACACAAGTGTCGAAGCAGAAGCTCTTGTTGTTAGAGGTCGTTCGAAGAGTCAGAATAAAGGAAGCAGAGGGAGATCGAAGTCAAAGTCCAGATTGAGCAAAGATGAATGTGCCTTTTGTCAAGAAAAAGGGCACTGGAAGAAAGAATGTCCTAGGCTAAAGAATAAAGGCAAACCTGAAAGGGGGAAGGCTGTCTCAGAATCAAATGTGGTCGAGTATAATGATGCAGATTCAGATTTCGCATTCGCTGCTACGCCATCAACCAGCTGTTCCAGTTCATGGCTGTTAGATTCAGCTTGTAGCCACCATATGACCCCCATTAGAGAATGGTTTTTTTATTTTAAAGAACTAAAAGGTGGAATTGTCTACACAACAAATAATTCCCCTCTTGACACACTTGAGATTAGTTTAATTCGCTTGAGGAATCAGGATGGATCAATCAGAACCTTAACAAGTATCCATTATGTACCAGATTTAATGAGAAATCTCATCTCTGTGGGAACCTTAGAGTCAAAAGGTTTATAAGTGAGGGAAAAAGATGGGATTATGAGGATTATCTCTGGTGCACTGGTGATAATGAAGGGAATCCGAAAAAGAAACAATGTGTATTACTTTCTGGGTAGTACAATTGTTAGGACAGCATCAGTGGCAGCTTCTACTGATGAACATGAGTCAGAAGCAACCAGGTTATGGCATATGCGCTTGGGGCATGTTGGTGAAAAATCCTTGAAATTACTCATAGATCAAGGATTATTGAAAGGTGCTCGGACTTGCAAATTAGCTTTTTGTGAGCATTGCATCAAAGGGAAGAAGACGAGGGTGAAATTTGGAACAGCAATCCATGATACTAAAGGTATTTTGGATTATGTTCATTCAGATGTATGGGGGCCTTCCAAGACAACTTCATTGGGAGGAACACACTATTATGTCACCTTTGTTGATGATTTTTCCCGCAGAGTTTGGGTGTATCCAATGAAGACAAAGGATGAGGTGCTAGGATTTTTCCTTAAATGGAAAAAGATGATGGAGACTCAAACAGGCAGAAAAATCAAATGTCTCCGTACAGACAATGGTGGAGAGTACAAAAATGATCCATTTCTGAAAGTCTGTGAAGAGGAAGGTATTGTCAGGCACTTCACTGTCAGAGGTACACCACAACAGAATGGGGTGGCAGAGCGTATGAACCGGAAATTAGTGGAGAAGTTCGCTGTATGTTGTCTAATGCTGGGTTAGGCAAAGAATTTTGGCTGAGGCTTTGGTCTATGCTTGTCACCTTGTCAACCGCTTACCATCGATGCTATTGGTGGTAAAACACCATTAGAGAAATGGTTTGGAGTACCTGCTACAGATTATGATTTCTTACATGTGTTTGGTTCCACTGCATACTACCATGTTAAGGAGTCAAAGCTGGATCAAGAGCAAAGAAGGCGATCTTTATGGGGATCACCTCTGGTGTGAAAGGCTATCGTCTTTGGTGTCCAGAAACAAAGAAAATAATCTTCAGCAGGGATGTTACCTTTGATGAATCTACCATGTTGAGAAAGGTGACTTCAGAAAAATTGGACCAGACAGATGGAACTCCCAAACAGGTGGAGTTTGAAAGAAGCAAGATTATCCCAACCAGTAAAGAAACTGATGTTGACTCTCCTATGGTAGAAGAAGATTCAGATGAAGAAGAGGTTCAGACCTAAGAACCTCCACAACAACATGAATCAATTGCACTCAGAAAGGGAAAGAGGACCATTAGACAACCTGCTCGTTATGCTGATATGGTCTCTTTTGCATCACCAATTGTAATTGATGACGTTCCTGCCACTTTTAATGAAGCAGTTCAAAGTTCAGAACATAAAAAGTGGAGGATCGCCATGAATGAAGAAATACAATCCCTTCAAAAGAATCAGACGTAGAAACTAGCTAGTCTTCCGAAGGGAAATAAGGCAATTGGGTGCAAGTGGGTATATGCAAAGAAAGATGGATTTCCTGACAAGAATAACATCCGCTACAAAGCAAGATTGGTGGCTAAAGGCTACGCTCAAACGGAGGGAGTTTATTATAATGAAGTATTTTCTCCAGTTGTAAAACATTCCTCCATCAGAATTTTGTTGGCTTTGGTAGCGCAGTTGGATTTGGAACTAGTTCAGATGGATGTAAAAACTGCATTTTTCATGGAGACTTGGATGATGAAATCTACATGACTCAGCCAGATGGATTCAAAGTTGCTGAAAAAGAAGAGATGGTGTGCAAATTAGAAAAATCGTTGTACGGATTGAAGCAATCTCCAAGGCAGTGGTACAAGCGATTTGACAAGTTTATGATAGGACAGAAGTACACAAAAAGCAAATATGATCATTGTGTGTATTTATGCGAGCTAGAAGACGGATCCTATATATATCTTCTTCTTTATGTTGATGATATGTTGATACCTTCTAGGAGTCAGACAGAAATTGCGAAACTAAAGACTCAAATGAACATGGAGTTTGAGATGAAGGATCTTGGTGAAGCGAAGAAGATTCTAGGCATGGAGATATTAAGGGATAAGAAATTGGGGAGGCTTTGTTTGTCTCAGAAAGAATATCTGAGGAAGGTACTAAAACGTTTTGGCATAAATGAGATGTCAAAACCAGTTAGTACACCTCTTGCTCCTCATTTCAAGCTCGGTGCATCAATGTCACCTAAGGATGATGCAGAACGGGAATACATGTCAAAGGTTCCATATGCAAGTGCTGTTGGTAGCTTGATGTATGCAATGGTGTGTACGAGACCCGGTATTTCACAGGCAGTTGGGGTTGTGAGCAGGTATATGCATGATCCTGGAAAGGAGCATTGGCAAGCTGTGAAATGGATTCTGCGGTATATTCTGAACACCGTAGATGTTGGTTTGATCTTTCAGCAGGACAAACAAGACGGTCAGTGTGTAGTTGGGTATTGTGATTCAGACTATGCAGGTGATTTGGACAACCGTCGATCAACTACTGGTTATGTGTTTACATTTGCAAAGGCACCTGTCAGTTGGAAGTCCACCTTACAGTCAACAGTGGCTTTGTCTATTACAGAGGCAGAGTATATGGCAGTTACAGAGGCTGTGAAGAAGGAAATTTGGCTTCAAGGGTTGCTTGGTGAATTTGGAATGGAACAAAAGCACATCAAAGTGCACTGTGACAGTCAGAGTGCTATTCATTTAGCAAAGAACCAGATTTACCATGCAAGGACGAAGCACATCGATGTTCGATATCACTTTGTACGAGAGATTCTAGAAGAAGGTGGAGTCATAATCCAGAAGATTCAGACCACTGAGAATCCTGCTGATATGTTGACAAAAGTGGTAACTGCTGTCAAGTTCAAACATTGTTTAGACTTGGTTAATATTGTTACAAATTAAAAGATTATTTTTTTAGAGATGTGTGTGGAATTTGCCAAGGTGGAGATTTATTGGTTTTTGGCAAAGTCTCACATTGGTTGTGTATAAGGAGGAAGGGAAATTCTTTTGTTATAAATAAAGCCCTCCTCCTTAGTTAATCATCCCACAAATATAAGCCTTCTTCTATATTAAAGGCTATTTGTATTCTTTCTCTCTTTGTAATATTTCCTCTATTAGTGAAATATTTTGGTGTTCTCTTTTATTTCTATTTAATAGCTATTGTCGGGTATAGTTGTTGTTAATTATTGTCATATTAAAATTACTTGTCTTGGTAGTTCTGTCTAAGGAAAGTGGGTTTTAAGAGGGACCATTGTGATCCCTCCTCTTTCCTGAGAATATACCTTGGGGTGATTTTTAGTACAATCGTTTTTACACTAGTCACCTAGATAATAGTTTCGAAGGTGAATCTGTTATTGGTAGAAATTAACCCGAATTCCACAACAGCAATTAGGGTGCAACTACTAGCACAGCAAGATCCCTATCACAAATGTTTCCAGGAATGAGGCTTGAAATGCTTAGCAAGCTCAACATACCAAAAAGATAAAAATGCCATCTTAGTAGTTGCACAGTTTGTTGGTAATGCTCAATCCCACATAGTATTGGAAACACTATTGGGAATGAGTATTTAAGGTTTGGAGCATGGTTGTGTTTTTTTTAATAAGACTGTTGTCTTCATGATTTTGCAATATATCTTGAATAAGACTACATCAAAATTGCCACTACATTAAAAATAATACAATTCCTTTAGATATACAAGACTCACCATAAGCTTTCAGTGTACAATCTTCTTATACAGCACGCTTCTGCTTAGATCTCTTGCTTCGTCTTGGCTGAGAAATATTAGGAACTTGTTTTCTGTCATTGGAAGCATATACTTCAAGAGTTTCATCACCCTGTTAGAAACTTGAAATTAGTCATTGGGTTTTCAAACGAATGTGGTAAAGTTTAAGATTTGCACTAAACCACCAGCTGTAGTTGGCACAACTTCAAATGGTAAAATATTTGGAAAGCATCAGATCAACACATCAAATCACCAGCCTTCAAACTAAAAGCCTAAAATAAAGTCTATCTTTATCGACATAGAAAAGACAAACCTCCTATACCTGTATAGATTGTTACTACTGAAATAGGTAATGTGATTTTACCTATATTCATTCTTCTAGATCAAGAGAATGACTGGTGCTGTTTAAAAGTTAACCACAGTCATCTCCAATAGATTCAGTTATACATATGGAAGAACGTGTGATTGTATTTGAAGTCCCTTCATGTTACTAATTAACCCTCCCCATGTTAATTAGCATACCATGCTTGCACTAACTTACAAAATAAAATGTTTGGTTTTATTACGTAGTTCAATCAATATTGGATTTAGCAGCAGTGGAACCCACCTACAGATACCGTAAAGTCAAAACATTGTGTGCATAATCATGCTGCCATAAACATGCAGTCACAGATTAACTTCATCTCTGTCTAAAGATGACTCGCTTTCGAGGTCATTTTTGCTTTCCTATATGACAGTTTTAGAAGATCCATACATGACAGATAAAAGTAGTACCATTGTCACTAATGACTACCTACAGTTCAACTTGCAAGTGGTCCCGTAAGATACCTGTGTTTGACAGCTGTCAGTCTAAACATGCCATCATTATCTTCTGGAAAGCGATAAAAAAAGATAAGGCAAATTCAAGAAAGTAGTAATATTCCTCCAGCATCCTATGCATTGGGCACCATACCCCTTTGTTTATGGATATAACTAAATCTATGAGAAATTCTTAGAGAGACCTTAAAATGATACAAAGCAGCCTGCAGTCACTGAAACTAGAAATTTACCTTGCCCTTTGTCTCATCATCTGATTCCCCATCAGAATCAGATGCTGAATCTAGAGCCTGAACTTCTTCTGCTATCAACGCCTTGCTTACTTTCTTCTTCTTCTCTTCATCTTTTAACTGCCTGAACCTGTAATTTCCATTTATTTTTCAGCATGCTAAATTTGAAGCATAAACAGAACCATGTACATCATTTAAAAGCCGTGAGCCATGAATACATTTAGTTAGTTTGTTCTTTTGTTATTTGTTAGTTTAGATTAGATTGACTTTATCTCTAATTTAAATTTTAAATATTTGTATAGTTGTTAAGCACCCTAGCTAGGTAAAACTCTAGTCTATAAAGACTAACTTTGTATACTGCAATCAATGAGAAAAATAATCAAAAACAAATATGTTTTTAGTTTTCACATGGTATCAGCTTAGGTTCTGGTTTCTAAAAACCTAGCGATGACCAATTCTTCTTTAAATAATGGGCACTCAATCACAGAACCAACTTTTTGGTTATGATGATGTTTCAGAATCCCTGAATTCGGCTGTCAGACTTTTCAAGGAGACTCACTCTCATCTGGCCAGCAGTGACATGCTCAACAGCTTTACCAAACAGCAAATTGATGATCTGCAGCGGCTGTTTGGGCAATTTCTTGCTCCTTCAAATACAAACTTTGCTGCTCGAGATTCTCCAAATGACACCACCTCTTCTGCTGCTCTTCACGCTGCAAAGAATGCACCAAATTGGATAGTTGACTCTGGGCTTCTGATCACATGACTGGCAATCGCAATCTTCTTTTTGAGTTTCGGTCCTCACAATAAATCTATTCGAACAGCAGACGGTTCCTTGTCTGAAATTGCAGGAAGTGGATTTGTTTTTATAAATGAGGACATAATTCTGCAGAATGTTCTTTATGTTCCTTACTTATCGTGCAATCTCCTCTCCATCAGTAAATTATCTAAAAATTTGAATTGTGTTGCTATGTTTACTGATCATATTTGTACTTTGTAGGCAACGGACTCGAGGAAGACGATTGGCAACGTTAGACTATCGAACGGGCTTCTATGTTGGGGGAGAGTATTTTACAAACACCTTGGGCGATTTTTTCGAGAGAAGGGTATAGTACACATTACTTCTTTTATTGATACTCCTCAACAAAATAGGGTTGTCGAGAGAAAAATAGGCATTTGTTAGAGGTAACTCGTGCATTACTTTTTTCTACGAATGTTCCTAAATAATTTTGGGAGAGTCTCTTTTGACTGTCACATATTTAATTAATCGAATGCCTAGTAAGGTATTAAATTTTCAAACTCCTCGAGATGTTTTCTTAGCGAATTATCCTTATTTTAAACCTATGTCCTCTACTCTTCCTTTGCGGGTATTTGGTTGTACTATCTTTGTTCGAAACACAAATCCTACTCGTTCCAAACTAGATCCCTGGTCACACAAATATCTTTTTATGGGTTATTCTTCTCTTAAGAAGGGTTACAATTGTTATTCTCCAATTACTCAAAAAACCTTTGTTTCTATGGATATTTCTTTTCTTGAACAAGTTCCTTTTTTCAATGAAGCTGCAATCTAGGGGGAGTGTGAATGGATTATAGCCTTCTTTGTTCATTGGTCACCTGTTATATCCTCCTATTTTGCCTGTGGTATATTCAAAACCTGTGTCAACTTCTGTCTCAAACAGTTTTTCAAGTCTTATTTCTATACCTACTCCTGTTTTTATGTCCCCCATTAGTCCTTACCTACTTCAGATCCACCGAATACTCAAACTGAGACCTTACGAGTCTATACACGACGCCCGAAACCTGTTTCAGAGGTTATTTTACAGTCTAGTACTTGCTAAGAGTTGGCACTCAGTCCGGTTGCTTCACAAGGTAATGAAGGTAGTGGAGTTCTTTTTAATGAATAGAATTTTGATGATTTGCCTATTGCTAAAAAGAAAGGTGTTAGACAATGTACTAAACATACGATACAAAGATTTGTTGCATATACAAGATTAACGCCTTTTTTTAAAGTTTTTACAGCCAGCTTAGATAAGGTTCAAATACCAGCAACTATAGAGGAGGCTTTACAGGATTCGAAATGGAAAAGGGCAGTTGAAGATGAACTTGGAGCTCTTGAGAAAAATGACACATGGATCATGGTTGATCTACCAAAGGGGAAGAAATTTGTTGGTTGTAAATGGGTATGTGCTGTGAAGTACAACTCGAATGGCAGTGTTGAGAGGTACAAAGCTAGGCTTGTGGCCAAGGGCTTTACTTAGACCCATGGAATTAAATATAAAGAGATGTTTGTGCCAATAGCTAAACTTAATACCGTGCGAGTTTTGCTTAGTCTGGTTGTTAATAAGGATTGGGAGCTTCATCAACTGGATATAAAAAATGCATTTCTAAATGGGAGACTAGAAGAAGATGTGTATATGATGCTTCCTCCTGGTTTGAAAATAGACTCAAAGACTCAGAAGGTTTGCAAACTGCAGAAGGCTCTCTATGGCCTTAAATAATCCCTGCGTGCTTGGTTTGAACGATTTACAAAGGCAATTCTTAGTGATGGTTACAAGCAATGTCAGGCACATCATACACTCTTTATGACGATAGCACATAGTAATAAACAAGTTATTCTGATCATGAACATATATGATATTGTTATTACTGGTGATGATGTGTGTGAGATTGGCAGGTTGAAAAGATTGTTGAATATTGAGTTTGAGATAAAGGATTTGGGCAAATTATGATATTTCCTGGGAATGGAAGTAGCTTGATCAAATTTAGGAATTGTCATTAATCAAAGAAAGTATGTTCTTGATCTCTTAACCGAAACTGGGAGTTAGGTTGCAAGCTTGTGACAACTCTAATAGATACAAGTTTAAAGATGAATAAGGGAGACACGTGAGATCTTGTGGATAAGTGATAAGTGCTTATTTTAATTAATATTTTACTTTTAAATTACTCTTTAATCATTGCTTTGTGTGGCTTATTTGTTCATTTTAATTCATTTTTTTTACAGGACGTAAGATTCTGAAAATTGCACAAAAAGGACATAATTCTATATTTTTTTTATTTTTGGAATCAAAGCTGGCTGGAATTCGGATTTGGATTAAACTCAAGTTTAGAATAGTATTTTAAACATTATATTTTATCTTTGTATTTTAGTTTAAATAGGTTTTATGTTGAAAACATTTTGATGTTTCGATATAACAAATTAAGTGTTAATGAATTTTAAGATTTTATATTGAATTTTAAATTATATATTCGATTAAATTATTCGAATATCAAAATATTACTCCAAGTTTTTCAAATGTCAATTTGAATCCTTACTCAAGTGTAAGATTATATTTTAATCTTAAAATATCTTTTTAAACAAATTTTACAAAGTATTTCAAGCCTTAATTGAGCCAAAAATATTTTATTTTTTAAGGGCTTCAAGAAAAACCAGATTGCCCAGAGGGAACAGATTCTCCCCCAGGGGGTACCGATTCCCCGGGAACAGATTCCCCCTAGGGGGTACCGATTCCCCCCCAGGTTTTTGGCTCCGAGAGAAAACAAAATATCTAGAGGGTACCAATTCCCCCTTAGGGGGTACCGATTCCCCCATGTGTAATAGTCGAAATATTTGAATTTTACACTGCAAGAACCGATTCTCTATGAGGGGGTACCGATTCCCCCACACTCCAAGCTATTTTATTAATTGATTCTCATCCCCAAATGGCTCCAAAACATCCCCAACGGCTATATACGACTTGAAACACATTCCAAGCTATAAATACAAGCTAAGAACACTTGAAGAAGTAAGAGAACAACTATCCAAGCAATCAAACACAAGAGAAGAGTTTTTCATTCTTATTTTATCTTTATCTTGTAAATATTTTGTTATTGTGAGCTTAATTCTTGTAAACACCTATCTTAGAGAGATTTTCTTGTTTACATTTCTTATCATTTTGTAAAGGGGAAAGGTTCTAGTTCAGTCCGGAAAAACTAGGGAGTTGTAAGGTTATCTCTTTATCCTCAAAAGAAAGAACAAATTAGTGAATTTATTGGAAAATCCTTGGTGAGGAGCTAAGGTAGTGGACGTAGACTTTGGTTGAGAAAGTCGAACCACTATAAATCGCTATGCAATTCCCTATCTTTCAATCTCCTTACTCCTTAAACACAAAACCGATCTGACTCTCTTTGCAAACCGTTCCGATTGTCGATTCGAGCTTCCAAAAATCTCAATAATTGGCATCAGAGTCTAACTCGTTAGAAGGTTTAACCACCTTGAGACGATCCTAGAAGAAGCTCTACCAATTCCCAACATAACCGAGAAGATGGCTTCCACCTCCGGATCATTCCACATGGAAGACTCCCTACCAACCGACAAGCCTCCATACTTCAATGGAGCGAACTATCATCATTGGAAGAAATTAATGAAGTTATTTATCCAAGCCAATGATCTTGATGCATGTGAGATGATCGAGAGCGGATACTTTTCTCCAAAGAAGAAGGAGAAGAAGTGGAGTGACCAAGAACGGAAGAAAGCTCAACAAAATGACAAGGCCATGCACATGTTGTTTTGTGCATTTGGTATAGATATCTATGAAGGATTTTCTTCTTGTTCGAATGCCAAGGAGCTTTGGAATAAGCTCGAGGAAATCCATGGAAACAAGAAAGAAGAACCAACAAAGGTGGTGTCTTTAATGGCTCTTGAAGAGCCCGAGGTATCTTCTAGCTCAAATGAATTAAATTCTTATTCTTTTAACGAGTTACAAGATGCTTATAATAAGTTGTATTTGGGATTTGAGACTATGAATTCCAAATATAAGAAAATGATTTCAAAATTTAAAATCGAAAACAATTTTCTTTTGAAAACAAAAATAGATTTTGAAAGCCAAAATGAAATTTTGAAAAAGGATTTAGAGCTTTCAAAAATAAAAATTGAAAGTTTTGAAAAAGAAAATATTGATTTAAAAGTTAAGCTTGAATGCTTAACAAAAGAAAAAGAAATCATTTTAATAATTCATTTAGTTCAATGATGACAATATGCTCACATTGTCATTATCATGGTCATAAGGAACGTACTTGTCCTTTGAAGAAAGGAAAACGTTTTAAAATTAGACAAGTATGAGTTCCGAAAGGAACAAGGGGCATTGAAACTAACGTCCAAGGATC